TCAGTTTTTCCCCTCCATCCTCCCTCTCTATCTCCCTCCCTCATGAACCCTTGATAATTTATAAATTTATTTTTCATGTCTTACACTGACCGATGTCTCCCTCGTGTGAACGGTAATTTTAAAAGTGTAGCCCCTTTTTAAACAGCCAGCCGGGTGGCGGGATGCTTTGTTAACAAGATTTAGTAGTTAATTTTTCTGCCTCTCAGTAGCCTTCATAAGTTACTCTTTGAGTTAAGGGAGAGAAAGCGAGACTAGAATGTAGCAAAAATAAACAAAAACTGTTACTCAACTTGCTGCCTACTCCTACCGCCATTCATCAGCTCTCCCTCTAACCCAGCAATGCCCTGGACTTCACAAGAACTCTAGAAAATGCATCTAGAGATGTTCCTTTATTCAACTCCAGTGCTTGAAGACTTGCCTTACCAAGGAATAAAAAAGTTTCGACTGTTAACAGATGCAAACCAGTTTTTCTAGCAACTCTCCCTTCTACTGTTTCCTGGACTGTGGCTGTTAAATTGTGGATTGCGACTTAATTAGAGCATTTCAGAGTTCTTTGCATGTTGGGATTGCTCTGGCATCATTTTGGGCAAACCTCAGGAGCGGGGTGGGCTCTGCACACAGGTGTTGATAGTCAGAAAAGGAAATTGACCTATAAATTTTAAATATATATATATTTTTAAGTCACTGAAATGGTGTGCCCTTTTGGGGCACCTGGTATGACCACGTAGCAGTGGTGCTGCCAGTAACCTAAAACCAGAGTAGTTGATTTTGTTTTCCCTCCAAGATAAACAAATCTGTATGCTGGATTTTCTTTCTGTACATCATTGTCAGAATTTAGTTTTTATCCTTTGTCTGCTTTGCGTTAAGTTTGTAGCAGGACAAAGTCAGCGATTTAACTTAGTGTTTTGGAGCACTTATGCATGGGGGGACATTCATGTGTTTGTGAACTTGAAAACATTGGAGATCAAGTTAACTAAATACGTGAAACCATCAGCTGAATAAAGACATGTGTTTTACACATTTTCTATACAAATAAATACTAGTTTAAAGGGAAGATTGAATTTAAAATCTCAAAACAATCATCAAAGATTATAGCACCGCTCTGAAATTGTTCAGAAAGAGGATCGTCTCTGAGGAACCAATACTGAGGAAAGGATACTCTGGAACTTAGGCATATCTTTGGAGGGAAATAAAAATGAGGAGATGGGAAAGTTAATTTAGATTCACAGAAACATGCTGTATTTGTAGGAGTTCATTTTGTCTGCCAATCAGGCTTTTAGCAGTGTGTAATTGGGCCCGGTCTACTTTTTGCCAAATTTATATATATATATATATACACATACACACACACACACATATATATATGTATTTATATGTTTGTGTAAATAGACATATATAGCATAAGTATATATATATATATCCATATACACACACACAGAGGAGCTTTAAAAGTAATGAAAATTGTCCACAAGCTTTTTGAAGCCTGTGTGTGTGCGTGTGCGTGCATGCGTGTGTGTGCCAATGTAGATAAAACTTACCTGACTTCACTTTGTGGAGCCTTGGTGACACAGTGGTTATAGTGGTTGGCTGTTAATTAAAAGGTTGGCAGTTGAACCCACAAGCCACTCCGGGAGAAAGATGTGGCCGCTCAATGGGGCAGTGCTATTCTGGTAGGCTCCCTATGAGTCAGAATCAACTGCACAGGAGTGGGTTTGGGTTGATTTGGTCACTCACTCTTCGCTCTAGCTTTAAAAGCAAACCTTTTGTTGTCCCTGGAGCCACTGGTAAGTGTCCTCCCCCGCCCCCCTCCCGTCCACAATAATAATAGTAAGAATAATATGTAAGGTTCTCGCCCCTACATTTCAGAATTACATGGAAGGGACTTGATACTTAGAATGGGTTAAGTTTTTAATAATGTGCTTCCCGATTCCGGTTTCCCTGGAGAAACTTCGTGTCAGCAGTTGTGCAAGAATGAGATATGATTGTAAAGTTAAAGCAAGCACTCAGATAAGCAGGGACATTTTTATGCCCAGAAGGGGCAGGCATTGTTTTTAAGGGAAACCGTGAAAGTAAAAGTCAATAATTCAAGAACACAAAGACAGGTAAATAAATGCCTTACTTTCTAGTGAGTGTAATTATCCACGGCATATTTCTATTGCAAGCACATATAGAGTTTGTTTGCTGACCCGTCACATGGAAAAAAGACAATTCCATGAAAGGAATGTCTTTCTAATTTATTTGACCACAAAGGCTCTCTTGCCCACTCTCTCTAAAAGTGCAAGGAGAATAGACAATACTACAGTACTTTGATAATTGAAGTAGAAAATGATTTGAATTGCAGAAGAATATATGAAACACTTCTGTTTCTTGCCCCTTGAACTTTAGAAGAATGAAAACGTCTAGCTCTCTCCACCTTCCCTCCTCCCTGAACTTGAACTGTAGCTTACATCCTGTTCCTCAGCAAGCTGTCTGCCAGCCTAGCTTTTGAAAGATTTAGTTGCAAAACTACTCCAAGAATTCTCAGCTCTAAACAGACACAATGAGGCTTTTGATAGTTGTTCGTTATCAAAAAATACTGAAAATGGTAAAAATGGTTTTGCCCTTCCATCAGCCCCTTCCTGCTGAGGAAGAAAGAGAATTGGGTTGGTAGTTATGAGACAAATCACTGCCATTGGGTTCGTTCTGACTCAGAGACCTTTAGGACAGAGCAGAACTTCCCCCGGGGGTTCCCAAGGCTGTAAACCTTTATAGGAGCAGAAACCCTCATCTTTGTCCCGTGGAACCGCTGGTAGGTTCAAACTGCTGACCTTGGCGTTCGCAGCCCAACACATAACTCCCAACACCGCCAAGGTGTCTGTGGTCCCCAAAGTAGAGTGGTCACCTCCTCATGGATTATGAGACAGATGGTTGCTAAAAGCCCTCACCTTCTATCCAGGGTAGCCGCCTACCACGCAGTGGGCATGTGCAGGTGGCCATTCGATCTCTCCAGAGTTTTCTACCCATGGTAGATTGGTTGAGGCGATATGAGTAACGATAACACACTCATCCTTTCTTCTCTGCAAAATGATGGAGGAAGAGTTCAAATTGTGAAGGGCTGAGCTGGAGCATACAAGGGACGGTCTGATAGTAATGTTATGCAGGACTGCGGCTGAGCAATAAGCCAAGGGAGTATGGGCTCCTCCTTCACTGTGTACAGAACTTGGAGGCTTGACAGAGAGCATCAAGCTAATTGTTCTTGAAACAGGAAATCTGTATTAGAGAAAGCAGGTGTTGTGTGGTGATAGCACTTTTTAAAATTACTGTATTAACTACTGTGCTCTTTTAAGCTTGACCTGAAATAGTCCGTTGGCTTTTTTTGTTGGGGTGGGGTTGGGGGGCGGCGGGGAGGAGAAGATGCTGCTCTTTTTACCTGTAGGGTAATCCTGCCTCTGGTTTGGGAGGGAAGGAGAGGTGAGCGAGCATAGGTGAGGTTGGAGCCAGAGGGCAGACATGCCGCAGTGTTGACAGTATCCATTTTTCTTTATTTCTTCCTTTCTTTTTTATTTTCGGCTTTCAGCATTCCATACGTTCAGAAACCTTGTGACTAGGGGTGAATTCTTATTTTTCAAATTGTTTTCAGACATTTCATGTTCATGTAAACTTGGCTTATTGATTTCCTGATTTTTTCTTTATTTTTTTGTTTTGTCCATTTTATTTTTAATCAGCTACATCAAATGGGTCTTTGGAGGGCCTGGATAACCAGGAGGGAGGGGTGTGCCAGACAAGAGCCATGAAGATCCTCATGAAAGTTGGACAAGGTAAAGACCACCTGCTGCCTCATGAAGCCACTGTGATCTGGTTTAGCCCCCTAGATAGTGTGGAGCCAGTGTTGCTAAAATTCACTTTCATTCACGCTTCTCTTTAGCTTTGAAAGCAAACCCTTCAATGCACCTAGAGTCACTAGTAGATTTCTCGTAAGTCAAGGCCATAAACTTCTTTTTATTGGAGATCTCTCTCAAAATAAAGGTCAGACAGGTAGATTGTCTATTGCCATATATTTATATATACATATATATTTGTTCTTAAAAGGCAAAATATCTCTTTGGTTCAAAACTAACTAAAGGACCCAGATTGAAAGCTCAGTTTCTACCAGTTTGCTCATTTCCAAATCTCAACTGCAGAAGAGTTCACTGTGTCTGTTCCCATATAGACATCCTATTGTGCAGGAAGAATTATTCTTCTAATTAGAAATCGGTGTAGTAGTCAATCAACTTGCTCCGTTAAATTGAAATGTCATCTGCAATGCTTTGCCTGCCAAACGCAAGGATCCCTATAGTTTCCACAGATGGCCTCTGAATCTAAACCTCTGAAGAAACTAGTATAACCATTTTGTTTTAAAAGGGAAATTATATTCGTGTATTTCACAGTACTTTGCATAAAGAAGCTTATGTTCATTGCTATTCATGCCTCTTGAGATATAGATCCAGCTCATAAAGTTAAAATCTCATCAGATGTCTGTGCTGTAATTAATCATTTCTTTTTCGTATAGATGCGAGTTCTGCTGGGTCAGCCAGGAATCATGATCCAACAAGACGGCCAGAACTGGAAGCTGGTACAAATGGAAGAAGCTCAACCACGAGTCCCTTTGTAAAACCCAATCCAGGTATAGCAACATGACTGGCCTGGGTGTTTGTAGGGCTGCATGCAAAGCAGTATCTTAAGAGGTAGAACAAAGTCAAAGCATTTTTCCAGCAGTAGGATTACCAGGTAGTTATGGAAGTATCTGTGGGTAATTCTGGCTCTCAGCTAGTTGTTATTAATCATACCCAGTAAGAACAAAATGAGACGTTCCCACGAAAGCGTGTGGTGGAATTCGTCGGATGTAAGTGCCAATTGTTAGCACCGCTCTCCCAGACAAAAGTTATTTTATTGCCTTCTTTTCTTGACTGGTATTCTATCACACTGCTTCTCAGCAGCAGCGTAAAGCTGCTGCTAATGTATATATAATTAATGTTCTAATCGCTCATCTAATTATAACGAATCCACAAAGAGCCTAATTGATCCTCTCCTAAGTTTTAGATAGGAACATTTTAAAATATTGCATAATGGTTTCATGGCATGTTTGTCCCAGGTGGTTTTCATCAATTCTTTTTCCATATTGTCAATGGAAGATAACATATGAAAGTGATCTTTGACACTTGAGAAATCGTATAAAATTGGCTGTCATTTAACTTCATTTTCTTAACAATCTTCTCACAAACAGCTCTGTGTTTGTTGCATGCTAATGAATTTTTTATGTAGTAGTTGTTGAGAGCAGACGTCAGCAGTTTTGTATTGGGGATCTGGATGCCTGGTTGGTCGTCGTGTGAATTTAGCATCTGTAGCAATATTCCATCTCTTTCCAAGTGCCAAGGAGGGAAGTTGTTATTTCTAACTTTCAGTGACAAGATGTGTCAAATACTTGTGACAAACTGATAAATGGATAATATAATGATGCCAGGCAATTTTTCAGTGCTTAACATTTGGGTTGGCAGTCTGTTCAGTGTGAGAGTTTCTGCTGTCTTCCAAATATATTTTAAGTGTAAATCAAATAATACAAACGAGTTATGAGTTGAACATTTTCCCAGGTCCCCGTCACTCCTTTTACGTTCTGGGGCTGTTCTGCCAGGAGGCAGGGCTTTTCTGTAGAAGGCAGGCCGTTTGAAGCTTCAGATGGAACCACCGATCTAAGGCAAAGCCGAGGAGCAGGGCAGCAGGAACGCATACGGAAGGCTGCCCCCGAGGACTGGCCACTTCCTTTTGGTCTCCCTGCGTTGCCCTCGGGCTAATGAACAAGGGGAGCGATGAGGCGAGGTCCCGGGCTGGCTGTCACAGGGAGTCTGTGCTGTTATGGATGATGGTGTAGAAAAAGGAAACGATGGGGCTTGGGAGACCCATAAAAGTCAGACCTCACAGACCCGACATCTCGTTTCATCCGGATTGCTGACTGCTGCTGTTCACATTTACCGATTAAAGCGGGTATTAGGGGTTGTCAAAGTTTAGCTGCCAGTCAAACCTTTGATCCTGCTTAGTTTTCACATTCTTACAGGTCACAGAAATAAGCCTGTCAGCACTCAGGACAACACTAATTTTTCTCTGCTTCTGTTCCTCTTGACTCTATGCAGGTTCTAGCACAGATGGCAACAGTGCCGGACATTCTGGTAACAATATCCTTGGTTCCGAAGTGGCCTTATTCGCAGGGATTGCTTCAGGATGCATCATCTTCCTCGTCATCATCATCACTCTGGTGGTTCTTCTATTGAAGTACCGGAGAAGACACCGGAAGCACTCACCACAGCACACGACCACACTGTCGCTCAGCACGTTAGCCACGCCAAAGCGCAGTGGCAACAACAACGGCTCCGAGCCCAGTGACATTATCATCCCATTAAGGACTGCAGACAGTGTCTTCTGCCCCCACTATGAGAAAGTCAGCGGGGATTATGGGCACCCCGTGTACATAGTCCAAGAGATGCCCCCTCAGAGCCCCGCAAACATTTACTACAAGGTCTGAGAGAGCCCTGGCGGTACCTTGGTTTTCCCAGAGGGAACTTCCTGGGCCGATGCTTCCCGTTGGGGCTTTGATGACACCTTGTGCTCTGGACCTGACTGAAGCACAGTCAGCGAGAGGGACCGCTCCTTCTCGGAAGAGCCTTGTTGAGTTGGACAGTTTACCTAGTCTGTAGAATTCCAGCCTTGGTGAGTAAAACTGCTCACTGAACGCTGGGAGACTGTGTGTAGAGAAGATACCCATTCGGATTGCTGTACTCTTATTACGTGTCTCCTCCTCTAAGCCATGTGCTGCAGTAATTTCAGGCAGACCCAAAAGCCAAGGGAAGACAGAGTGGTTTGTGGACAGGAGCACTGAGAGCATCCTGGGATAGGCGCCCTAGGATGCCACACTCGGAAATGCAGTCCTCGGCCGCTGCCGTGCCTCTCTCGGTGCATACTGGACTTGTCACACAGACCTCTGGCTAAGTAAGGCTTTCAAGATCTCTAGCTTTTAGTCCATCACTGTTACACTCCTTCTGTTACCCAGGGCTCTGCAGTACTTCACATGAGATTCCCTTCCACTCTCCATCCCGCCTCACTAATGGAACATTAATGCGTGGAGTTCTCCACTCCATCCATTTGCAGCCACCGCCACAGTTGAATGGGTAGTACATTTGCAGAGATTGTGTTTGCTAATAAGGAGCCTTCCAGCCAGAAGCTAGGCTGTCAGCCGAGAAAGACAAGGCGTTCGTGGATGGGGGTGGGGTGGGGGAAAGGGCTGACTGCAATGGCAGTTTAAACACTGCTGCCTCTGAAGCGGAAAAGTTGGCGAGAAGAAAACAGAAACCATTAGGTAGCACGGCACTTTGGTTTGGCTGAGATCAAAGAAGCAAGGAGTGGAGACACAGCAACACACGCAGTGGATTAAGGTGCATTGAAGGAATTCACCGTATCAATAGCAGTGTCCGGAGGAAAACAGTACCTCTTGGTTGGTCTGGTAGAACAAAAGGGGTATTGTTGGTAGAGGAACAGGCTTGGAGGGAAGGGAGAAAGTAGGCCGCTGGTGATCAATTCGGGCAGGACTTGTGGTACTGGCAATAAGCTCTACAGCTCTGAAGCTGTAGGAAAGTCAGTCTGCTTTGGAGGGTGTTTTGAGCAGACTCAGCTGCTATACTTATCACATTTTATTAAACACAGGGAAAGCATTTAGGAGACTAGCAGAGAGCCAAATCTGACCTAGGAGTTGAAAAGCCAAAGGTCAAACAGGCTGTAATTCCATCCTCATTGACGTGATTAAAGATTTCTCATATATAAAAGGTAGGTCAGATTCCACCCCGCCCCCATGCCCCCTCGGCACCCCACCCCCAACCCCCTGACCCCCACCCCTATCGAGCCTTATGACACTTTGGTTTATGGCGGTGCTGCCCGAGCTGTGAGGGGTGCGGGATCGGTACTGTGCCTGAGGCCGCAGCTCCCTGGTGCTCTGTTCAAAGTAAAGCACATTTGGCAAACCTCTTAGAGTCCTTACGACTGAAATGAATGATGCTGTGGCGGGGAGAAGGAAGATAGGACGTATTTATAATAGGTAGATAGAACACAAGGGATATAAAATGAAAGATTTTCTACTAATATATATTTTAAGATTGCACAGCGTACACACCAGAAGATGTGAAAGTCATTTGTGGCAATGAAGTGATCCCAACTGTCAGTGCTTAAAAAGAAAAGAAGAGAAAATTGGACAGCTACTTCTGGAATAAAACAACATGACTCCAAAAGTAACAATAATGAGAGCAAATTCCGAAAACAACAGTCCTCGGAAGGCATCACACATGACCGCAGACTAGGAAGTACAAGCCCCAAATCCCAGGACCTCAATGTTCCTGCACCACGTGTTCAGCAACGACCAGGTGTTCCCGCGTTTATTGTCCGTGCTGTGTTTCCCTTGCCTGAGGGGCTGACGTGTCCACTAGAATCCAGCAGGTGACTGAGGGAGGTTTCGGTTGGAAGTTTAGTTTTCGCTCCCTCCTCCTTTCTCCTCCCCTCTCACTCCCTCCTTTCTGGAAAGAAAAAGAAAAAAAAAAACACAGGAAACCTACTTTTTATGTGCTATGCAAAATAGACATCTTTAACATAGTCCTGTTACTATGGTAACACTTTGCTTTCTGAATTGGGAGAGGAGAAAAAAAGTCGCAACAGCATTTTAAGGTTCTCAGACCTCCAGTGAGTACCTGCAGAAATGAGCTGTCACAGAAATGATTATTCTCGATTTCCTGAACCTGAAAATGATGTTGGTCCAAAGTGTGTGCACGCGTGTGTGTATGAGTGGGTGTGTGGTATGCATGTGTACATATATGTATAATATATATCTCCGATATATATTATGTATATATATAACTCCTAGTTCTGTGGAGAGTTGCCATGGTAACCTGCCACAGTACGTATGTAATTCTTTCCATCACCCCAACCTCTCCTTTATGTACATTCATACAAGAGTTGCTTGTAAGCCATCAAAATTTACATTGAGGATGGGGCGAGGGCCGAGAAGGGGGGCATGGAAATGAGCGGAGTCTGATTTTCATGAATCAAATGTATGGATCATCGGTTGGCTACGTTTTGGTTATATACTAAACTGTGAAAACTCAGATGAATTGATGAAGAGTTACCTGCGACCAGTTGAGAAGTGTACTGTGTGTCTGTTTTGTGTCTGGTGCAGAATATGACAATCTACCAACTGTCCCTTTGTTTGAAGTTGGTTCAGCTTTAGAAAGTTACTGTAAATGCCTTGCTTGTGTTATCATCCCTGGTCACCTGACTTTGGAATTTGCACCACCATGTTTAAGTGAAGATGCTGTAAATAGGTTCAGATTTTACTGTATATGGATTTGGGGTGTTACAGTAGCCTTATTCACCTTTTTAATAAAAATACACATGAAAACAAGACAGAAATGGCTTTTCTTACCCAGATTGTGTACATAGAGCAATGTTGGTTTTTTATAAAGTCTAAGCGAGATGTTTTGTATAAAATCTGAATTTTGCAATGTATTTAGCTACAGCTTGTGTAAAGACAGTGCCATTCCCCTTTGCACTGTAATGAGGAAACAAAATGGTATAAAAGGTTGCCAAATTGCTGCATATTTGTGCCGTAATTATGTACCATGAATATTTATTTAAAATTTCTTTGTCCAATTTGTAAGTAACACAGTATTATGCTTGAGTTATAAATATTTTTCTTTCTTTGTTTTATTTTAATAGCCTGTCATAGGTTTTAAATCTGCTTTAGTTCCACATTGCAGTTAGCCCCTCCCCCCAAATGAAATTCGGGAAGTCACATTCCACGTCTGTTTCAAACTGAATTTGTTCTTAAAAAAATAAAATATTTTTTTCCTATGGAAAAAGTTGCCTTCCAAGTATTTTCCTTTCCTCCTTTTTTTTACTTTGCATTTTTCTTTTTCTTTTCTTTTTCTTTTGTTATTTTGATTTGTCCTCTGCTCTCGCTCCATACTTGTGTTGCCCAGAGACTTCTGTCCATAGATATTTGTGTGCACACATTTTTTAAAATTAGGACATGCACAAATGTGAATATTTGTTCTGGTAAGAGACACTGACCCATTAAAAACCCATTACCGTCCAGTCGATTCGGCCTCACTATCGATTCTGCAGGATAGACGAAAGCAGACCCCAGGGGTTTTCCAAGGCGAGGGCGGACTGCTGCATTCTTCTGCAGAGCCGCCGAAGAGGCTGAAGCACCGTTCTGTCACCAGCCGTGTACTTAAACACCGCACCATCAGTGTTCCTGTATGAATCCATTAAAACAACAAGCTCACTGCCATCCGGTCAACTCATCGTGTCCCTGTAGGACAGGGTAGAACTGCCCCGTGAGTTTCTAAGAGTAACTCTTTACAGGGGGAGAAAACCGGGTCTTACTCCCTCAGAGCAGCTGGTGGTTTTGAACCGCTGACTTTGCAGTCAGCAGCCCAGTGTGTTGTAACCACCACACCACCAGGACTCCTTATGAACCCATGGGTGCCCTCATAAAATGGAATTACAGTGCTCCATACTTTACAATCAAGTTTTACAAAATCTTAATCATCCAGAAAAGGGAAATGTGTCCATTTCCACCTGCACTGACCAGCTACAAAGTGGACGGTGACAGGAAAAAGAAGCAAACAGCCTCTTGCTTTTTTAACAATCCCAAATTGATGTACTTTCTATTCAAGCAAAACTTCCCAGAGGAATGGGTAAAAAAAAAAAAGTTCAAGCTTCTTTATAAAAAAAATTTTTTTAACAATGATGAAAGCACATTTTTGCAGTACTAGATTAATAAAGCCAGCCAAAGGTCCACAGTGAATTCGGCCACGTTCCCAATGCTCTGATTCCATGAGAAAACCAGCACCTTCGGGGAAGGTGGTTAATCTGCCGATTCAGTGTCTTCACTGCCTCCCGGAGCCTTTGTGGTGTGAAGTCAGTCAGCTTTCCTGAGAGAGCTGGGTGGACAGCGAGAGCCTCTTCCATTTGCTCAAAGGCCACGCCTTTAGGAAGTGGAAGAATATTTCAAGATATCCTGGAGATTCTGATGAATAGTGCCTGCTTTATCAACCAAAGAGCTTTTTAAAATAAATGTGTAAATAATACTCCTTCTCAAAAACTCTTACAACTTCTCCAGAGGCTCACAATTTTAGTTGTTGCGAGAATCTTGGTTTCTTCTATTCCAATAATTTACTCCACTGCCCCTGACTGCCCTTCAGTTGCACATCATGTTTAGGGGCACAATTTATAGCCAAGCTGAAGCCCTTTCGTTACCAAGATCACTTCTGATTAGTCTTAGTAAAAGAAAAGAACAATCGCTAAGTATTAGATGGTTCATTTAAAGTGTTTTTCTCTTCTGCCTCAATCATAATTTCAGTTGATCATCAGCCAAACTGTTGCTCTTGGCTAAGCATAATGCTGCTAACAGCAAGGTTGGTGCTTCAGGCCCATTCACTTCTCCAAGTGTGAAAGACGAGACTCAGAAAGCCTCTGTAGGGTTGCTATCAGTTGGAGTGGACTTGATGACAGTGGATTTTGTTTCTGCTGCGTTTGAGTCCAGCCTGAAGATTGGTTCCAGGTGTTTCAGAAGACACCTGGTGATCTGCTTTGAAAAGTCACAGCTTTAAAAAGCCTCTGCGGCAGTGGTACTCTGTGCACATGGGTTGCCATGAGGTGGAATTGACTTCATAGCAACTGACAGAATCATCGTTGTCCATACCAGTTACATAATGCCAGTATTTCTACTTGTTTTTGAAACCAACACTTCCAAAACTGAGCAAGCCAAGTTCGCCTAAGAGGATAAGCAAATTATCAGCGTGTTCTTTTCACCTGGCCGACGGAATCTCAGGAACAGAATTTTCTCACCAAGGTGGTGTAGCAAAATGCTGGCGGTTGTGTCTGAAAGGTAAGCCTGCTGCTGCAGTATCAGCTGACAGCCGATTTGCGTTTTTAAAAACAGCTCTCACAACGGTTGATTCCCTTTTTGGCCAAACAATTGCCCCCTCAAAGAATGTGGTAAAATTGTACAATAACAATGAGAAAATGATCAGATCAGTAAAATCTCACTAGCTAGATAACTACGTGTCAGTCTCTGAACCCATCCCAGAGCAGAGGCAAGAAAATAACAACTGAAGTCGGAAACATCACTTTCCCAATGCACGGGGGAAAAAGGATGAGGGCGTTGGGAGGCTTTGGGTGGTACAAACTGCTAAAACGAGGGTTGGAAATTTGAGTCTACCCAGACACGCCTGGGAAAAATACCTGGTGATTTATTTTGGAGAAAATTCAGCCATGGAGAGCCCTTTGGGACACAGTGATTCAATTCTCCTTTTTTGTAGGGTAAGAAGAAGCCGGTCAGGTGCCTCACTGCACTGTAAAGTGCTGTTTTCATCCCAAGAGCACTCGCCCCAGCACCCCGCTTTTGCTTGCAGTGGGTTTGGGGTTCTGTTTGTTATATTTACACTATAGGCTTACTTTGAAGGCAATTTTCATGGTTGTAAAAGACAAAACTATCTCCTATCTGGACTCATTCTTCTTACTCAGAGGTTGGTAAACTTGAGATGGAAGAGCCGATCCCGTCCACCACAAAATTTTAAAAATTATTTGGGAGCGGTCAATATATCTTTACAAACAATGAAATCACTGTGATCTGCATAGTTTAAAAGATTTCAATTTTGCTTCAGAGCCACAGTTTGCCGATCCCTGTTGTAGCCCCATCCATCAATGAAGGCATAAGTATGGGGAATCGTTTTGAAATACAGATAGTCCCTGGTTATGAATGCCAAACTTACAGAGGACTCCTTGTCCTCTAACCTGTAGATTGACCCT